GTTCACTTTACAGTGAACTCTATGAAGCATTTTCCGTCTCAAACGGCGTGATAAGGCATTATATCAAATGCAAGGATTATTATTATTACTTGGTCCAAATAGTCTTAAGGAAAGAAAAGGAAAGAGAAAAGGAAGGAAGCAGGGAGGGAGGGAGGGAGGGAGGGAACAATAAAGAGGATGAAGGAGAAATATTCATTTGTGCAGTTAAAGACAAACTTATTGTTTTTCCTATGTGTTTAAACAAAGTATTATGTTTGGTGACGGATATAGGTGTTTTGGTGAATAAAACACTGACTTTATGCTCAACACTTTACGTCATCTAACGATAGCAAACACAGACACGTCTCAATTCCCACTGGATTTGGCCGTGTCCTACCCAGCACTTCCTAGTTGGAGTGGGACTGTAATTGGAACAGCCACGAGGACTGGCATCAACCCTCCATTACCTCTTCTCACAGGGCAAATGGTGTCTACGCCTACATGTCTTTCTTTACATTACTTACAGTAAACTTGTAATATCTTCTGCTACAATCAAACTTGATAAGGTCACATCAGGAAACATCACACAATGTGTTGGATGATAATTGCACCATGCCCCTCACCCACGGACATGGGGCACCACTGCATCCTCTCCTGAAGAACAACCTCGCCAGGTTTCCACTGCTTAATAAGCAGAGAAGAAATTAATCCTGAGGAAGAAGAGGAAATGGCAGAAGGCCAACTCACCAAAGCTACTCCCGAGAGAGAGCACATTCACTTCACTCGTGGCTTCGAATTGCATTGGGTGTCTGGCTTTTGCTGGTAACACTCTCACATCTGAGTCAGAAGGTTGTAGATTCAAGCTCCACTTTGGGACTATGAACTCAGAGGCTATATTTACACGGGCTGACACTGTCCTGCAGTGCTGTGAGGAGGGGAGGGTTGCATTGTCAACAACCCCCAAATAAAATTGGTGACTATTAGTGGGACATTGCTGTGTGCAAAATGGCTGTTGTGTTTGCGCTCACCCACAAAACAAAAGCAACACATTACATTTGTAAAGCGCCTTTCATGACAGGAGGACATCCCAAGGTGCTGGACAGTCAGGGATCCACACCTGAGCTGGTGGGTGGGATCAGGAAGGGGTGGTGGGTGGGGAGGGTAGGGGTAGGAGGGTGGGGAGGGTAGGGGTAAGAGGGTGTCTGAAGGCACGGTCGAAGAGGAGGGTCTTGAGACAGATCTTGAAGGAAGCAAGGGAGGGAACGAGACGGAAAGACTGTGGGATGGAGTTCCAGAGGGTGTGGGCAGAGAGGCTGAAGGCCCACCCGTCAATGGTGGGGCGAGCAAGTGGGGCGAGCAACGCGGGGGACGTGAAGCAGGCCGGAGCCATTCCACTTTACAGCGTATCCTGTGAAGCGCTTTGGGACGTCTTCCTGACATGAGAGACTCTGTCTCAAATGTAAGGATTATTATTATTATAAATTATAATTTATAAATTATAAATACTATATATTTTCCAAAAAAAGACAAACGATTTATTTGTTCTTCACCCAATATTGATTGAAAACATGTTTGCAAACCATCTCAATCTGTTTACTGAGTAACAAGATAAATTATGTATTGTTTAGTTATTTTGCTGCAGAAACATTAGCGCACTCCTTAGTTCTGGGTCAACATTTCAGTCAAGGGAATATAATAAGATCTAATATTCACGCAAATAAAGACAAGAGTTCGAACCTCCTTCTTCCTGAGCCTGCTTTGTACAAGTGAACTCGTTCCATCTGTGCTTGTTTATCAACGGAATTACAAAAAGACATTTATCCAGTAGTGGATTCCCTGATGGGTTACACCTGACACACAGGAAGCTGCTTAATCTTTGAGAGTATCTCTGCGCTCAAAGCAAATGCACAACATAAACTTATTTTGTTCCGTTTCTTCTTAAGAACATAATAAATTAATAAACGTTTCTCGCTTCCGCGCTCACCAACCTCCCAATCCTGCTTCACAACAGATGTCATCCAAAATTCAGAAACGTACAAGTTATCATGTCATCGAGACATCTCAAAGCGCTTCATAGGATTTACTGAGAAGTGCAGTGATTGTGTATTTTTGGGGCAAACTGAATTTGGGGGAGAAATTTAGTTGCCAGTCAGTTGGTCATACTTTTACCACCAAGTGATTGAAAGTGGTCAACATGACTGGGCCACTGAGCTCACAGTCGAAGTTGACTTTCCAGCGCAGTGTTGGGGAAAATGGTCCATTGGCCTTCAGAACAAGGCATTAAACCAGACTCGCCCGCAATGTGGAAGAAACCTCACCAGCCTATTTGAAAATAAGTTTCTCCTGGTGTCCTGGCCAACAATCCTCCAAACTAAATAAACCATTCACCTCCTGGCTGGTTTATGGGACTGGGCTGTGTGCAAACTGGTTGCCGTGTTTGTCCACAAACATACAGTCGTTACACTTAACAGGAATTACTGTTCAATGTTTTGATGTTCAGGGGCGATTTCAGTTTACTGTTAGCCTTAATCTCTCATTCAGGGCAACAGTGTGCAAAGTTACGGTCGTAAACCGTTGCGAGATAAAGTGGACCAGAGGTATAAAAACCCAAATAAAGGTGCACTTTAACTGCAACTCCAAGCAAGTGTACATTTCTTTAAAATAATACTCAACATTTGCAACTACAATTTACACTTAGATAGCACCCTTCACATGGGGTAACAACTTGAAGCATTTTACACAGATGGAGTGGTAATCCGAGAAGGGTGGGAAATGGAGTGGGTGGGTGGGGGTGGGAGATGTTGAAGTGAGTTGACCAAATTCACTGTTGAAGAAGTATCTTTTAATGCACAAGCAGATTTACTCACGCGAAAAATTAATCATGGATAAAACATAAGTAGCTATATTGCACCTTCAAACACTCAGCTTGCTCTAAATCCATTTTTCCCCCCCTAAATATGTCCAACTGGGTGAATATCGGGCAGTATGTTGTGATAAAAACCACATTGCACGCCATATTTTTCAACCCCCAATGCAAGTCTTATCAAAGGAATGAATGCCATTGAACAGCCTTCACCACAACCCACGGCCCTATTAGTTTTCCATTTGCTCAAACAGTGCAATAGCGTCAACAGCGATTTGTACTGACATGGCACCTTTCATATAGGATAACATCTCGAAGCGCTTTACAGTGAAGTTGGTGGATCACTGAGCAAGAGTGGGAAGAGCGCGGGGGGAAGGCACGTACGTTAACTGTTGACACAATCAGATTTTTAGGAGGGTTATGAAGGTGGTCGGAAAGGTGGAGGCATTTGAAGATGGGGACAAGGTCCTTGAAGGCGATGAGCTGGGGGACAGTGAGCCGCAGTCAAGGAGACTCCTGGAGTCAGTCCACTTGCTGCCGTTGGGAGGTGGTCAATGGAGCAGCAGCAAAACTGTGCATCGACTGAGACCAAACGCTTTGCAATTGATCCGGAAAGCGAAACCGTCTCATTGTAAATAAATCCAGTCAGTCAATCAGTCAGTATCTTCGCAGCGCTTAATCTGCACTGAAACAATTGAACCCAAACTGTTACTCTTGCAAATGGATCCATCGATAAACGGATTGCCGGATGACTTATTACCCTAACCCTAATGCTAACCCTAACCGCCAACAAATAAATATTAAAATAAGACGACCTAGTTAGACAACGATTACTGCAACGTAGACAAGAGAAGAGTTTGCTCTTATTTCAGTTGAAATTTTAATGCTGGTCTCCAGAGCTTAAAATCACTTTACGATGATTAATTGGCTTTAACGAATCCCACAGATGTATATTTATTGCACCAATCCCACAGCGAAAACTGACTTGGGAACAGATGCCAGAAAATGCTCTATGTCAGGCACCAGCCCTCATTCAGTTGGTTGCACTTTTGCTTGTGAGCTAGAAAGTTGGGGGGTTCAAGCCCCACAAGGAGAATTTGAGTTCACAGCCGAGGGCCAACTGACATTCCAGTGAAGCACTGGGGGGGAGCCCTGCATTGTCTTTCGGATGAGACATTCAACCGAGGTCACATCTGCGTCTGTCCAGGCGTTAAAGATCCAGTGGTGCTATTAGAAAAGAGACAGGAGTTTCTCTCTCCCTCCCGGTGTCCTGGCCGACAATCCCCCAGATAAAATTGGTCACTCGCTTCACGGCTGTTTGTGAGATGCTGCTGCGCACAAACTGGCTGCCACATTTCGCCCACAAAATACACTTTACAGTGAAATCCCGTGAAGCACTTTGCAACGTTGCCAAGCATTTCTAATGGTAAGCTTCTCTCCCACCAATTACTGGATTTCCCAGTTCTCACGCACACACACACACACATACACAGACACACACACAGACACACAAAACAAATTATGATTAAAAGTTCTAGCGTTGCTAAAAGCAAGTATTTTGGCACTCTTGAAAATTTTACGAATATGAAGCTCAGATGCTTTGCAAAACCTGCTATTTACACAATAATAAAATACAGTAATATTAAAGTTTTGAGACCCCCTCCCCCCACCCCCTGACACATTAGAACAAACTTGTTTGTTCAGAAACTTTCAATCTCACGAGATCGGTTACTAATTCTTTCCCTGATTCTCTTACATAGAAAACATGGGCCCACCGAAATAAACCTTGCGCAGGGGCTCTCAATGGTAAAACTGTGGGATTTCATGACCATCAATTAATAGTTCATAACACCAAAAAAATGTCCGATAAAGCCCAGCCTGTGCCTTTAGCATTACCGTTCCTCTTGAGATGTGTAAAGCTTATCTGGCTTTCTCATCTGCCTCTGAAGTGAAGCCATCAATTCCGCTTCAAGCAGCAGCTCAGCACCTCCAGCAATCTACAGCGTACACGGTTTTTTTATGGGGACGTTTGCAGAAGTGAAGAAAATTGGAAAGTTGTTGTGTTTCAGAAGAAATCCACAATTGTTTGTGTTAGTTCAACTTCAACGCTATCCACATCAGTGGCTGATACTCAAGCTACGAATTGCAGTCTTCTTACCTTGCACGCTCATCTTCAGTGATCTTTTGCCCGGTCTGTTGTTCAGCTGCTTGCCCTGCGATTCATATTTTGTCGCAGTTCGGAGTAAGAAGAAAGAGAGAGAGAGAGAGAGAGAAAAAGGCCCGTCTCGCTGGTCTGTCTCAAATGTTTTCAGCTTGATCGGGGGAGTGCAGGTGCAGGCGTTTGATAAAAAAGAAACTCACATTGCTTCTGAGCTCCAGCGAGGGTTGCGGGTGGGCGGAGTTGTCAAACCACATACTGTAGAGGAACCCATGTAAAGTGAGACTTCTCTTGTGTGCAAAGCTGCTGGATCCCATGATCAGGATTCTCATGTAACACAAGTCAGTCCGTTGTTCACAAGAGGATAGTTGGGTTAGCAGGGTCGGAACAACACAGAGCTGGTCGGGAATGCAATTGAAATTCGCACAGATCAGTCTTGACCTTGTGGAACACAATGGCTCCAGTGCTGAGCAACAACAACAACAACAACAGCTCCAACTTGCATTTAGATAGCACCACCAGTGTAATGTAGAGTCCCAGAGCGCTTGCCAGTGGTGGAGCATGATGCTGAGCTTGGGGAAGATTGGGGGCAGGTCGAGGAGGAAGGTCTTCAGGCCCGACCAGAAGATGGAGGAGACAGGGAATGTGTTCAGGCCCGACCAGAAGATGGAGAAGGAGATGGGGAACCTGCTCTCTCCGCATTGCTGTGGAGAGAGCAGGTTCATTGGCAGGGCTTGGAGGGAGTAGACTAGGTGGGAAGGGAGGAGGTGCAGGGTTTCTACCCAATCGGCCCACGTTAACCCCGCAAGACAAACCCTGAGCAGGTGGAGCGCACCTAGCTGGGCAAAAAACAGCGGATGTTTGCCACGCGGGGCTCTCAATGGTAAAGCTATGGGATTTCATGACCATCAATTAAAATTGCATAACACCAAAAAAACAAGGTCCGATGTCATTTTGGGGAAATTCAAGCATTTAAACAAAGGGGAAGAAACAGTCATAATGTGTTCAGGATCCGGTGGAGCTAACAGAAAATCTTGCTCAACCAGCCAACCAGGCCAGATCAGTTAGGGCCAACTTTTTTGTGAGTAATTAGGGGAAGCTGAGCTAATACTAGTCTGTCATCAATTATAAGTCTGGGATCACATCTCAAACTTCTTGATAGCGTTTATTTCTTAAAAAAATTATAAATGTGGTCACTGAATCCACGACTGTTTGTGGGACACCGCTGTGCGCAATTGGCTGCCGTGTTTCGCCCACAAAATATACAGTCAATTCATTTTACAGTACATCCTGTGAAGCACTTTGAGACGTCTCAAAGACATGATAAGGCACTACAGCAAATGCAAGGATTATTATTGAATAGACAGTGGGAGCACCTTTGACACATGGTCTGAAACAAAGAAGGAAAGCAAAATTTCTCTTGATGTACTGGCCGACAATCGACAATCACCCTCTCCACCCCCCACCAGATAAATCATTCGTTCACTTTGTGGCTCTTGAGGAGATCTTGGTGTGCACAAATGAGCTGCAGCACTTGTACTCAGTCACTACACCTGCCAGAAATTACATGTGAAGCGTTATGAGATGGTTTGATGTGTTGGGCGCTTATGTTAAGTGGAAGCTTTATCACTAAAGATGTTTCTAGATGTGTCGACGATGTGATAAGCCTCTGTATCAAATGTAAGGGTTATTATTGATTACCTTTATTACTTATTTATTGATAGTGCTTTTGCTTAGTGAAGGTCAAGAATGTGAAGGTCCAGAACCTCTCACGATTAGCCAGTTCCCCCCTCTCTCCCCCTCCCACCTCACCATCAGTGGTCAAGCTTTTAGCGACTAGACTCTTAAATTTTCTCTCGGGCTGCGGAACAGGAGAATTTCACTTCACTTTTGCTCTCGAACATCTGCTTGCCTGGTGCGTGTTCAACTTGGCCGTCAGGCACAGATTTCATCAGTTCAATTGCACCGACTACTTAGTTCTGGGCAAAAAAACAACTTTTATATTTTTTTTATTATGAAGTTGAATGCTTTCAGATGTCCTGACTCGACCGTACAGAGACAGGCGTATCGTGAAATTGCAAAGTCCAAAGTGGTTTATAATAATAATAATAAACCTTATCACGTCTTTGTTGAGACGTCTCAAAGCGCTTCAAAGAATATAAAGTAAAGTGGATTGACTGTATCGCTGCATCGGATGGAACTGAGCAACACACACCCAACCTGACAAGGCAAGATCCCTTCCAAATCGTGCAAATTTCTGTCCCGGGTTCTAAGTCTCTGAAGTTCAAATATCCAGGGAGGGCAAGGGCAGAGCAGAACTATTGGTCGTGATAACTGCAGCAAAGGCAGCAGCAGGAAGTGGTATAGACAATCAGAGAGAGATAGAGCAACAGAGACAGAAACTGGTGCGACTGAGAAAGTAGCACAACACACGTGAGTGTTGCAGTGCAGATACAGCAGACAGAAGCCAAAATGCTTGCTCAGTGACAATAAAATAATTACTGACAGATCGGCCCTCAATGATCCTGAAACCCTTGAAAGATCGCATCTTATATAAATCATCTATACTCATCCAAGATATGTTAGCTGGTATAATAATAATAATAATAATAATGATAATAAAAATAATAAATCCTTGCATTTGATTTATTTTGGTCAGCCGGGTGTCTGACACATGCGGAAACTCATCACCGTGCTTAAGAGCAAACCAAACTGAGAATTCCATGCATCCCACCTACACATGGAAATCCCAGAGATAGACTGTTGGAATGGATTGCGTTCTCTCCCTGGAGGGACGCTTCCTGCTTATCTAATTCCAGAGAGTATTAGGCGTAGATTGGCAAGAGCCCAGGCTTGGAGGAACCCAGAGTGTGCATTGGGGTAACTGCTGGAGTCTAACCAACTCAAAAATCAGTAACCCAACGCACACTCTAGAGCATCTCTCTGGAGCAACTTGTGCATCTTCTGATTTTGGATGGATGGGATTAATGACAGGCGAGAGAGTAATTTGTATTTCCCATTCTATTGTCTTGTCTAATGTCCGAAACATTGCTGACACTGCAGTTTGTAAGGGAAAGCCACTCGGCACGTGGGGTAAGCTCACAAATCATAAGGATTGTAAGGATACGACCAAATGCCAGGATTCATCATTAATAATCCTAATAATAATAATAATCCTTGCACTTGATACACCCCCTTATCACGTCCTGGAGACATCTCAAAGTGCTTCACGAGATAATAATAATAATCCTTGCATTTGATATAGTGCTTTTCACGTCGGGAGGACGTCCCAAAGCGCTTCACAGAATACACTGTAAAGTGGATTGACTGTCTACTTTGTGGGTGAAACGTGGCAGCCAGTTGCACACAGCAGTGTCCAACAAATAGTCATGTCTTGTGTGACCAAGTGTGACCAAATTGTTTTGTTGTTGTTTTATTTGAGGGATTATTGTCCCCGAAAGAGATCTACCAATCCACTAACAACCGGGTTCCTACTTACTACTAAGCAAACAGAGGCATGTGGAGTAAGGAATTTCATCCATGAAGAACTTCCTCTCTATCCATAGTCTCCTACGCTGTTCCAATGAGCCACAGCGCAAGCTCAAGGAACAGCAACTCATTTATTTGCTCGGGATCTTACAGCCCTCGGGCCTTAATACTGATTTCAACAATTTCAGACAGTAACAGCTCACCTTCCCCCTCCCCCTCTTCTGTGAAGCATTACCACATCATCTGAGTCACAGACACACCTTTACTCTCTCTGGTCTTCCTATTTTGTTGCAATTTTCCCTAACTCTTAGTTTTGCATTATTAACACCTCTATAACCCATCATCCCCTGTCCTCCAGCCCATTTTCTCCGTTGTCTTCCTTGCCCTACCTCCCTGCTCTCTGTCAGCCCTTAAAAACCTCTCCCTCCCAACATGCCCGAGTTCTGAACAAGGGTCGTGGACCCGAAACGTTGACTCACTTTCCTCTCTCCATAGATGCTGCCTGACCTGCTGAGTGTTCCCAGCGACTTCTGTTTTTGTTTCAGATTTCCAGCATTTTGCCTTTTGGAGTAAGGAATGCTGCCTAAGGTTTCTCCCCGCCCCCAAAACTGTAAAGCTCTGTAAAGAAAAGGGGAACATTTCTGAAAAACCACAGCTGTGAAACCATAAGACACAGGGAAGCCCCCATTTTGTGGGGAGAATTGAGAAGCCAGAGTGCTCATTGTGAACTGAGCCAGGCTGACGCACAGATTCCATTGCTCACAGACACAACTTAAATAGTAATAATCCTTGTATTTGATACAGTGCCTTTATTACGTCTTGGAGACGTCTTAAAGCGCTTCACAGAACAGATTGTAAAGTGAATTGCCTGTACGATTTGCGGGTGAAAAGCGGCAGCCAATTGCGCACAGCAGCTTCCTACAAACAGTTGTGGGTTGAACCTGCTTTTATACGGTGCCCTTCACATGAAGCAACATCTCACTGAAGAGCTATCGGGAGCAGGGACCCTGTGGCTGTGTATCCGGCCCTTGAACTAACTCCTGCCAGCAGGCAGGACGCAGCATTCAAAGTAATTTTCACCCATCAGTGAGATACGTAAAAGCCGGCGAGACAGAATTAACTTGGGCAGAAAGGTCCCAGACACCATCTCGCACGGAGATGCTTCAAACAAAATGCAACCACAATTTTGTGACATCGGCAGAGCGCATGGAAGCAAAGCATGCATTATCCAATCTGACATCAGCATTATTGGATAGGTTCTTGATAGGAACCGACCCCCAGGTGTTGATAAAGCTTCTGAAATCACTTGTTAAATGAATCTCAGCTCTGCCTCAGCCACCAAGTGTTGTGAACGCCACCCCTAATAAAAGAGAACACACATCAAGTAACTGGCTGCTCTAAGGCATCATCTGCTCCCACCCACCCAAAACCACAGTGTATAGTGGGTAAGTTTTTTTTGGAAAATTTGAGAAGTTTCATGTCGGGACATTGAGCTCACGCAGTCTTGGCTGACAGCCAGTGACGATGCGGAGGGAATGTGGGGGTGGGTGAGGGTTGCATTGTTGGAGGTGCCGATCTCTGGGTGAGTCGTTGAACCAGCTTGTGTCCGTTTAATTGCAGAGTGAAAGATTCCGAGACACTATTTGTAAAGAGAAGGGAAATTCTCTCCCAGTGTCCCCGGCCAGCAAA